ATCTGCCCCTGGCCTCTGCTTTCCCCAACTCTTTGTGGAGAGCCAGCCCTCCCACCAGTGACAAAACCTGCGCCTCCTCCTAGGTGCCTCAGCTGCTGTTCCTGCAGCCATTCTGGTCCTTCCACCCCAGCCGGAGCAGAAAAGCAGCAGTCAGCAGCGCCAGCCTCCAGCTCCTCCTGCGAGGAACGGCTCCCCCGCGCACGGCCCGGGGAGGAGACTCGCAATTAGCTCCTCGTCAAGGAGCACAGCACTCCGTTCCCAAGGCTGGAGCAACACTGATCGCTGCTCCAGTTTTTCATGCTGTAACAGGTAACCTGGGGCAGTTTAACAAAAGCTGCTTGTTAAATCCCGGTCCCTTGCAAACTTCCAAGGATGGAGATGCCCCTGTTTCTCTGATGACTTGTTCCAGTACTGTAGTACCTTCCCAGTGAAGAAGTACTTTTCTAGTTTCCGAATGTCCTGAACTGAACCTTCCAAGCTGCAATTTGCAGTTACTGCCCTTTGATATACCATCTCCTACTACCAAGAAAAAAAATAGGCTTTGTCATCTTTGCAATTGCCCTTGAAGTAGTTGCAGGCTACAATTAGATCCTCCCTTGGTCTCCTCCGTGCCAGACTATACACACCCAGCTCCACCAGCCTCTCCTTGTAGGCCACATACTCCATGCCTCTGGCTGCCTCAGTAGCCTTCTGCTGGACCCTCTCCAGATTCCTCCACGTCCTTCTTGGACTAGGGTGGAGGGAGACACCCAGAACCAAACACACTATTCAGGTGCAGCCTCACTGGTGCCAAGTAGAGATGGATAATAACTTCCCTCCATCTGCTGGCCTTGCTCCTCCCAATGCAACTCCCAACACAGTATACAATTTGCCTTACTCACAAGGAGAGCACACAATACATGGGCTTATATTCAATTTGGCGCCCACCGTAACCCCCAGGGCTGGTCGAGCAGGGCTGCAACTCAGCCTGTCACCTCCCAGCCTGCGCAGAGACATGCGGTGGCTCCAGCCAGGTGCCAAGCTCTGCACCTCGCCCTGTTGAACTCTGTGAGGTTTCTTCTAGCCCCGTCCTCTCATCTATTGAGGTCCCTTGTGCTTGAAGCATTTGGAATGTCAGCCACTCCCTGTAACTTAATATCACCCTGTGCAAGAATTTAAAAATGACCAAACGCAAGTGATATTTTAATTCCTTTGGTCACAAAGGAATTTTAATGCTGTTACTCAGCTTCTGGCTGCATTTTTCCCAGTTCTTGTTTGCTCCCATTTGGTCCACAGTCCAACTGAGCTGCAATCCTGTCATCAGCCTCTTCTTGGCTGTTGGCAGCACCAGGAGAGGGATCCTGTGACTACGAGGTTTATTGCCAGTCTCTTGTTTTCTCCCTACACCCAGCACACAGGCTGGTGGGACTGGCCCCTAGAGCTCCCCTGTGCCTTTGCATCAATGGCAGAGGATACTAGTATGTCTAATTCCCTTTTTCAGGTAACTACTTCTCCATCTTAAATATTTATGGCTTGATAAACTGGTCTGTGCATCAAAAGCTGGATGCTGCTGGAGTTATTCCCACTCTTTCTTTCCTTAGCCCCCCCAAAACAATCCTATTTAGCATGGAAATAGTAGTGCCTATATTGTACAGCAGTATATACTGGACAAAGAGGTGGTGCGGTGCTGTATCAGCTGCAAATAAGCTACGGACCTAAGCCAAAGGCTATTGAAATGCGTAAGAGGCTTTGGACGTTACATCACACCTAAGTTAACTTTTGACTAAATTAAGGATTGGATATTTAGCTCTGAAATCAGAAGTGTGCTTAAGCATGCGAGTGGTCCCACTGAAAGCAGCAGGGCTACCTGCGGACTTAACGTTACAGACGTGGTTGAATAACATTGCGCCCGGATCCGTTTTGCCATCGGTGGCTCCTAAATCAGACTTGTTGCTGAAAGTTTCCCAATGCTGCCACCTACAGAACAGGTTAACTACAGCTTTCAGCATAGCAGAGAAAAAACTGTGAAGAAAATGATAGATTGTGCACAGTCAACCCTGGATACGGTTCTAAATTAGCAATGTGCAGGTCTAAACAGATAAGCCTGAAATCCTACCTGAGATTCTTAACTATTTCTCAAATATTTCCAAGGATAGTTCTATATATTAACTGTTAAAAGTCCACCTCTGGAAGGCTGCACAAAAATGGCAGGAACCTGTTAATTCACATTAAATAATTTGCTCAGTAGACTCCTCCCATATCTGGAAGAGCAGCAGTGGCAACAGCCAGCCACAGGTTTCTTTCAGAGCGGGCATAAAACACAAAGCAAGCTTCACGAGCTCCTACCCTTCTCAGTAATTGTCACAGTGAAAATTCAGGGGTAAACGCAGGAAAAACACATAGGGTTTTAGATGAGAAATGGAGAGGGTCAAAAGATCTACTTTAATTAAAGAGGATGCATAGGAAATCAAGGAACGGTAGCAGTTCCATATGGAACTACAGATTTAAGATAAAAACACAAAGAGGAGAAAACAAGCAGAGACAAGAAACAAAACGAGCCTCCCTTCAGATAGGATGTGACCAACAGAAAATATTAAGTTATCAGAGAGCATCTTCTCAGGAAAACAATGCATTTTGATTTATAGCACTCCAAAAAAGCCTACAGACATTGACGCCTCTTGGTCCAAATACTTCTGCTGAAGTGTGAAACAATGGGCAAAGACTAAAATTCAAAAACTTGCAAGCAGGTAAAACTAGCTGGAAAATATGCATAAAAAGTGTTTATTTTGAGATTATGCACACATGAGATGACTTTAAAATATCTTCCATCTTTTCGATTTATGGCTTATTCTATATGGTTTTGACTTGGCACATACATGCTTCCATGCATCGTGACTTTTCTTCTGAATGCAGTAGCACATCTGGAACAGCTGCACTGTTAGTATTGCAAAAGCTTCCATCTATTCAGCTTACAGAACCTGACCCATTGTTTGAGACCTCCTTCATCCAAAGCAGCTCTATCCCAGCTCCCGAGACCTTCGCCATCCCCAGCCACCTCATCTTCCTCTTTCCACCCAGGCTGTTTTAGAGGAAAGCCCAGCTGTTTGCCAGGCCTCTGTGGTAATTTTAATAGGGGAAAACAGCCTTGCTAATGATGTTACACATGAGTGGATGGATAACATTCATTCCTTAGTTGTTCCTTTATTTCCATCCTTTGAAGCTGTACCTGGGACCAAAAGGTGAGAAAATAAGAAAGATCTATCACAACCCTTTCCCTGTTTTTCCATGAGGCCAAAATGATTCAAATGTTGCCTTTCAGTAGATTCTTAACCCAAAAGCTTGAGTAGAAGAGCAAAAAAAGGTTGTGAAACACTAAAATAACTTCAGTAGCACTACAGATTTATATTACCAGATTAAAAAAAGAAAAAAAAAAAACAAACAGAAACATTTGACTGCTGCAATCACTATAAAAAATACAGTAGTATCTTGAAGGCACTTTCAGGTTGCTTCAGCATTGCCTGCCTGTGTAACTGCAGACAGGCAGTTATGGCAGGTACCCTGCGCAACGGCCTTAAAAGCATGAAAAGGGTCCCATGCAGAATTGGAGCACGCTGCCCCAGGTACGGCATACAGCTGACCGGGCTCTGCTCTCTCCTGCCCCCTCCTCCTACCGTATCTGATTTTTATTGCTCCTTCCACCCTCCCGCGCTCACGCCGCACGCCTTTCCTCTCTTGCAGGCTTTGTTGCTTAGCAGCCTGAGCCGCAGGCATGGCTCCGAGCCTGCGCTGGAGCAGGAGGCTGCAGCGGAGATGCCCCAGGAGGCCTCCCTCCACCCTGCGACAACTTCCACTAAAAGGCAGAATAAGATGCTGTTGTAGAGAACACCTCCCTGCTAACAGAAACCGAGAGAGACTGATGTTCAGAACTGAAGTACTCCAAGTATTAGCTAATCCTCAGAATTGGTATTAAAATGTGTTGCTACCCCCTGCTAGCTTCAGCTATGAGCAGTAACAAGGCCCAATACCAAACACCTTCAGGCCACACATGGCTTTAATCAAGGCTTGTATTTTCAATTACCCTTCAAAAAAGCTTGGAAGCCAGGAACAGTTTGCAGTGTACGCAGAGCACCAGTGACCACCAAAGAACACAAGTTACCCAGCACCGTGCAACATGGCTGGCAGGCACAGACCGGGACACAATCAGTTAGGAGAAAAGCCCAAGTTGAAGTGTGCTTTATCCCTTCGTACAGCTACCTGAGGTATCGGCAAGGAGCTGCAGATAAACAGCAGCTAGACTCAGGTAAGAATAGCTTCCACAGAAGGTCACGGAGTTGAGGCAAAGGAGTGTGTAATATATATATATATATATCAAATATCTTTCTTCCCCTTGAACCCAGAATTTCATCTTGCTATTCAAAATTCATGTAGTGTGGGTTTCTCCTTTTGTAGGTCATTTTGGAAGGGACAGGGAGTAAAGCCGCTTTCAAGGCCTTCCTAACACAGTCACAAGTTGAGGCACATAGTGGCTAGCTGGGGATTGTGTTCAGCATTAGCCAGCACATTTCTTTTAACCACAGGTATGGAAAAAAGCATATTTAATGCAGTCTCGTATAAGGAAACACACCACTAACCAATTCAGTAGGTATTCTGTTGCTTGTAGCATTAATACAAATAGCCTCTGTTTAACAGCAGCTGCAAGTTGACATTTGAGTGTTCATTTATCACACCTTACCCCTCTAAAATAAATGTATTCAGGGTGGCAAATCACAGCTTCAGAGTTTCAGACTAGGCGTTAGGAAAAGCTTTACTAGAAGGGCAGCGCAGTACTAGAACACAGTACGCAGACAGTGGTGCATCTCTCCATCCTGGGAGGCCTTCGGGACACTAGGAAAAGCAACTGTCCTGCTAACCTGAGGCTGACATTAACTTTTTGCTCAGAGGAGAGCTTTGAGAACAAGGCTTATAGAGGATGCCACATATAACTCCTTTTGGAGAAAGTTAACAGTGATCACTTTAGTCCATTTAGACTTCCAGCAGAACATTTTATTCTCATTAAGGACAAGGAAATGTCAACCAACAGCTCAATTAACATGACACAATTAAACAAGCCCTGTTAAGTATTTTCTACTTAACATGAAAAAAAGGGTCTAAAGACATCTGATGTGTCCAAACTGTTCACATTAAAACTTGAGCTCATCCTTCAGCATAAGCTCAGCTGATGTTGCTCCTGTGTACAGCAAAAGGTGGAAACAATTTAAGTTACCAGAACAGCTGTGTTTAACAAGTACTGAAGCACTGGAGTTTAGACTGCATTTACTGGTGTGCTATTAGACTGCTTTCCTTGCGTCTCTTCAGAGTCTCAGGCAGACTTGCAGAAAGCCACAGCAGAAAAACGAACTTCTCCTTTTTCACGTTCTGTAAATTGTCTGCAAATCTTAGCAGAATCCTTGGAAGAAAAGAAAAAAAGCTGTTTAGACTATCAGAATACACTTGCCTAGAGACCAAGTCTTTGCAGCTCTTCTCTGGGTCCCACCAACTAAGTTAAAAGGTCTTGTAGCACCAGCTAATAAATACACTCAACAGATACCTAGCTTTGTGGCACAATACTACCTTGTTACCATGGTATAAGAAGCACCAACTTGTACAGCAAGTAGGTACAGCCACTACACACTGAATACCTGCCTCTCACCCTTTTGTAAGCCCTGTTTTCAGGGAAACGAGCAGGTAGGGAGAAGTCTTACCTTCAATAGCAAGTCACCTGAGCTTGTGCCATGGTTTACAGGAAATGGCATACGCCCATCTGCGAAAGAAAGTCCCCATCACTCAGTGTACTTAATATTACTTCTGAATTAGCAGAACTGAGCACAGTGGGCCCAAGAAACAAGTACACACATAAAGATACTTGGGAGGTCAGAATAAATTGTCAATACATAGCTTGAGTGAGAAGGGGACTAAGTATTCCCAGCTCTACAGGAGATGACATGCTTTACAAGAGGGCCTAGGCCTTCAGTGCAACCCATCTTCAGTTAAAATCTTCAAGTGAAGACACAAATTATGTATTGGCTTCAGGAGCCTCAGTGAGCAGCTTAACTAGCTCCAGGTATCTAGCCTGAGCCCCCAGTGCTGCTGTACAGTGTAAAGCAGGCCCAGTCCAACTCCGGAGTTCTTACCCAATTCATACAGATGTCCATCCACATTGACAAACAGGATGAAGTGGAAGTTCACACTGTTGTCCTCAACCTCAGGAGAGACCATTAGATACACTTGTTAGATTGAAAAAAAGCCTAGGACTCTGAATCCTACTTGTGACTACAGGACAGAGGAGACACCAACAACACAGTAACAGCAAAGGACTAAAAATTTAAGTTCGGCTGAACAGGTCTCTGCAAGGCCTCTACAAGGTCAAGCACCAAAAATTCTAATGTACAGTCACATTTTCAGACTGGGTCTGAACCCAAATTTTCAATCCATGTTTGAGAAGAAACCCTACACAAGCATTCACCCCTGAGTCACTCACTTCTTTCCTCATGAGCTCTAACAGCTATCTGCCAGACAAAAAATTGCATTGCTCTACCATCTTCCTTAACCCCTTCTCCCAAGACTTTACACATTCATATCTTACCCGACATTGTCCTTCTTGCGCAACCGAATTGTGCACTTCTTGTATAGCCTTAAGAGAAAGCAGATACAGGTTACTACATCCTTAAGTGCTGACAGCTGTCAGCAGTTTATATAGTTCATATACCTTATTATTTGCAAAATGCTTAGCTCTCTCTTCAGGAGACAGATCAGCTGTTTCATCAAGAAACTTCTTCAGGACAGACCCCTCATCTGCACAAGATGATCAAAGATTTTATTCAGTATAGGTAGAGCATCAGTTACAGTTCAGAGGCACCCCACAGTAATCAGTGTTTGTTGCACTAACTAGGAGTCATTGCATTCAGCCTGGAACCATCTCCAGCATAAGCATATTTAATGACCACTTGAAGTAAGCTATTTATCCAGAAGCTACTAACAGCAATCTACACAAACAGCCAGAGTTCAAGTACTTCAGGGTACTCTGGATGCTTGTCCTAGAACTCGCTTTCAAATGGGATTTAGCTTTTCTGATTCCCCCCCCTTGCAGATTTGGCAGAGGTGCTCAGTCCTGTTTAAAGAAATTCAAGAAAGGTGCCAGCTGTGAGGACACTTAAGTATCAACAAACAGAATATGGGCAGATGAAATTAAGTTGTCTCCCTGCCTTCAAATGAACACAGCACTTGTCATGCTAGGCTTACTTTGGTTTTCCAGAACATATATGAGTAGTGCAGTACTAAGATGCACTGAGTTCTAGTCTTACGTGCATCATTCATTTCTCTCATCAAGAGCGTGCTGTTTCAGAAAATCCTCTCAAAAAGAGTAAAGCAAAGCTACTCTCATTTAGCCTTCCATGTGTGTTTTCCTTTGTTTAGGAAGGAATCCCACACCACCCAAAGGGTTCAAGTTCGCTTGGAATAATGAAAATAAGTTATATTTTACAGATCCCTAGTGTTTGAACAATAAAGTATTTCCTGGATTCAATGACAGCCCTTTTTTGACAAGAACTTGTAATCCCATTTCCTAGGGGTTTCCAGCCACCAGTTGCCTAAGCCAGTTTTATATCCTTTTACTATAGGAAGAAAACCATCAAAACTATTACCTCTGCAGGAAAAGTCTACTTACAGGCCCTTATCATGCTATACTACTTTCCCAGCAAAAAGAAAACATGTTTTAGACTGATTTACAGGCTACCCTGAGCAAGTCTGTTTATATTAGACATAAGTGGCATGAAGAACTTTCTCTCTTCAGTTGACATCATTACCAATGTCAACAGCTACTTCTGAACACGATACTTCCCACATACAGACTTTGGCCAGTCCTATGTGCCCTTTTCCTCTTGCATTGCTCACTATGATACTCTGCAGCTACCAGGAGTCAAAGTGCATTCCCTTCTGTGATTCAGGCAGTAGGTGAGACCACATGCCCCTCTCCAAGAGCTGGAAGACCCACTTACTAACTGAAGCAGTACAGCATGCCTTAACTTGGCTTGCATGAAAGCCCCACGTGTCTCCCATAGCCCATACCCACTCAATCTTCCTTTGTCATTAAAAAAATGGAAATTCGAGTGCTTCAGAACATTCATACTCACCAAGCTTCACTTTGTCTTTATTATTAGCAACTGCATGTATCAGACCAATTGTCCCACAGGAGTTACTGACCGTCTGCTTCAGGAAATACACCTTGGAACTGATTTCTTGGTCCTTTATTTTCTCAGTCTGTTGTTTCCTGAAGTTCTCATGCTGTAAACATGTAACTGTTTTAAGCATTTCACCACAGTGATATTTTTATCATGCAAACTACTAGACAAATGAGTTGTGCAAGAAAATCAATAGCAGGACTGGACAAGATTTATCCAGAAAGTCATTCTTTACTGGACCTATGCCACAAAGATATGTCTATACTGGATGCAGGCCAAGTCTTAATGGACTACCTGCATGACTCAGTCATATGCAAAGGCACTGTTCTTAGTCTCTCCATCTGTTCTGTACACTGGAAATAGCTTGGGGTGGGAAATCATATAATGGATAGGCTCTTTTACAACCTCTCTCAATTGTTTTGGTCCATTTAATGAGACTACTCAGCATGTCTCTTCAATTGCCTGCCTTTGTACCTTTAGGTTACTTCCCTTCGTGAACCCCTCGCCATCGGAACAATGGCTAGACAACTGTAAAACCCACCACTAGTGAAAGGCTATAATCCTTCCTTTAAAGAACCTGTTAAATGTACTTTATGTCAAAGCCCATCTCCTCATCTACTTCCTTAGCATCAATTGGACTAAATGTATTCATCATACAGAAGTAATTTAGGCCTCTCCAGACACCATGATTCAGCATGGTAACAGAATCACTATTCCTCACACAAGACTGCTCATGTTTTTCCCTCAGTCTGATACACAAAGCAAAGCGTAAGAGAAGTATTACAATAAAAGGCCTTGTTTTGTTGCTCAGTGCATTTTTAGTTCAGGCTATTTAGAGGCTGGGGCCAAACACCCAGCACGCACTACCCACCTACCCCCACCAGCCACCTACAGCCCCAGTGCAAGCCAAACCCACTCCCAACCATCTGATGCTCGGAGAGATGACACAGGCACATTCCCGACGGCAGCCAGCAGGTGCAGACATTGCTGCTGACCTGTTTTTGCTCCTGGGGCATTTGGGCCAGACGCGGCCTAGCCGGCCTGCCCGCGGTGACAGCAGAAACCCCCTAGGGCACCAGCTGTCGCACAGCACCAGGGGCAGCCGCAGGCTCGGTGCCTGAACCCGGCCCATCCGGCTGTTGCCTGCAGGGCCGCAGCCCGGGGGACCTGCGAAGGGGAGCAGTCCAGGAGGGACACGACCGCCCCCGCCCACCGCCTACCTGCTCGGTGAGGGGGAACAGCAGCAGCAGCGCGCAGGCCGGGGCCGGCACGGCGCCCAGCGCCTCCTCCTCGAAACCCAGCACGTCCACGAAGCGCCAGCCGGGGCCCACCCCCAGGCGGGACAGCACCTGCAGGGGGCACAGC